CCTGAACCTTTCATGTGAATTTCAAAACAATGATCCCAAAACTTCCAGTAAGTTCTTAAGTCATACTCTAAAGTTTCTATCTAAGTCCGAGGTTTGGTCAAAATTGAGCAATTTTTTGACAAGCAAATGATTGGCTTCATGTTGTTTCCCATACATTTTTCATACTAAATTAAAAATTCTCCCGAAAATCCAGATCATACGCTTCGAAAAATCAGTTTAACAATTTTAGTGATTTATTTGTGTGGGGCTACCGTTAGCTCAGTCGACAAAGGCGTAGCTATAAACCAAGATGAGACAAGAGATTTTCCCAAAACCAGATCATACCCCAATTCACACAAATTTTGCACATTTGTTGGGGATATCAATACGCTTCGAAAAATCAGTTAAAAATTTAAGTGATTTATTTGTGTGGGGCTACCGTTAGCTAAGTCGGCAAAGGCGTTGCTACACAGCAAGACTATGCTGGAGATGGCTGGGCTCGATTCCCGATCAGGTCTAAAAAAAATCAAGTTGAAAATTTTCTCAACTTCCCTGGACATGGAGTATGATTGTACATGGTGCAGGCAACAAAATCTCTCAATTATTAACTGTTGTAGTGCATCTAGAACACTAAGTTGATAGCACGCAATAAGCTAATATGCGATGAGCAGCGAATCCAAACACATAAAGCAGCCAACGATACAGAAAAAACGGTTGCTACGATTACCATGATAAACTCGCTCTGTAACATAGCTCGATCAGAGTGGTAGAAGGATAATGATATGTTGCTTGCCTGCTTTGCTGCAATATACACAGATGAGGACATAGCTTGATCTGAATCGAGAAAAGACATAACAAACAAATTCCCATTAGCACATGTGTGTTATCTTCAGCTTTACTTCGTGCCAACAATTTGCTCGTTTCCTTCTACCGCCCCGAGTGAGCTGTGTCGTGCTGGCTGCTTTTTATGAAATAAAAGGATGAAGATTATATCATTGTTACTTTCCACTTCTGACACAGCGTTATTATTCGGTTCGATGATCGCTTGTCGTTTTGTCACATGAAAATATTTTTGATTCCTTGGCGATAAACAATTTGCTGAACATACGAAGAAGAAGTTATTTATTTAGCGTATTCTGGAGTGTAATGAGACATTTGAACTATAATGCTAAAAAAAATCAAAAACCGTTTGATTGACTGACAATAAGATAGCGCCAATAATCTCTCTAAAGTCTCAATCTCTCATATAAAACGAAAAGGTTTTATTTTCTAACAATAATAATCATAACATATATTATAAACATTGGTAATTTAAAAAGAAATTGGACACGACATCAAACAAAAATGTCACAACTTCAAACTATAGCAATGGCCCGATTTTGTCAGCTCCCTTTTTGAAAATATTTTCTAATGGTCTACGAAACCTTTACGCTTTTTCAGTGGTTTTATTGCACCAAAGTATACCTTAAACAGCCATCTTACAGATGAACGTGATAGATTTGTAATTACGGTTATGTGTTATTATTGAAAGATTAAACTGTGGTGCGGGGAGGGGCTGACAAAATTGGGCCATTACTGTATATATGAACTTAACTGATCCCTCAGTTTTTAAGCTGATCATTCGCCACTTCTAATGGCACTGCATAAAAACATGTAGCAAAGAAAATTTATACTTATTAAATCAAAATTATTAACAGTTTCGAATGACATTCAAGAGCTGAAAACATGCGAAATTTCTAACAAATTGATAGCATTTGTACAGGCATTTATCCCAATTTATAAAAAAACACAGAAACAGTCTTTTATCAAAACAAAAATGGCCTGAACTAACGGTTTGAGATTAATTCAACAAGATATCATACTCATATGCCAAATTTTAAATTATGTAGGTCTTAATTTCTATGAAACAAAATTGGTCAGATTTACAAATTCAAATGAATGTGATCACAATATAAAACAAAATTAACCACAGATTCTATCGAAATGAATCACAGCTTTCAATGTTCCCAATCAATCTTATTTACAAATAAAAATGGACAGGCAAACAAACAAATAATTTTGTCAATTTTCACACAATTTTATCGTTTTTCTACGAAAATGAACACGAATTTGAATTTCATAATGTTGTTTGAAATAAATCGGCCTCAATCTGAAAAAAACCTTGGTCCCAACTGTTATTTTTGCAAAACCGAACCGAACTTACATATTTCCAATGGTACACGAAAACAGATTACAATGAACAAAGATTGGAAATAAACTTTCTGAAATGTTGATACATAAAATGCCTTTTTAAAGTATCTTTTTTTTCAGTAATTTTGAAACGTTAATAAAATTTTGAATTGGTTTAATGCTATTGACCAGTTGCAGGCAAAATAGTGAAAATTTATTTCTAGGATCGACCTTCTCCGTTTTGTTTGTTTGTTATGGGCAATGATTCACATTTTTGCTAAAATTCGGCCAGTTTGTATCTTGTAAAATTTATAAAATGGTGTCCATGAAATTTGTCAAAACATTGTAAAATATCACAAAATCAAATCTAACCAAAGAGCAAGATCGCGCTTGATTTTCGTAGACAACAATCAACAATTGCGGTATATATTTCAAAATGTAATATTGCAGCTCGTAATATCAAACTAACAAAATTCATCAGCTGCAAATCTCACAAAACTGTGATGAGATTGACCCAAACCAACAAGCCCGCTAATTCGCCTTTTTTACAATATAAGGCTAATATGCTGCTTATTTAAACCGTAGCATGCTCTATGTTAGCCGTGTATCAGATTTCCCAAGTAACAATTTTGGTTTTATGAGGGTTCTGTAGACAATGATTTAGACTTGTAGCATGCTTTAAAACCACTATAAAACTTGCAATGTTACTTGGGTTATATTGCAAAAATGCGAATTAGGAGGCTTGTTGGTTACTTGGGGGAGTTTAATATTTTTTGCTTTACATCCGAAAGCAACCAAAACTTCCATAAGGACTGGCAGCAGTCGCTTCGTGTCTGCTATCGGTGAAGAGGTAAAATGGATAGCATTATACCTTCTCCTTCTAAGAAAACGAGTTGCAACGGAATCATTTTTGTGTCGATTCAACTCTCAGCTTCAACTATACACGTCTCACAATGTCAAATGGGCTTGTAAAATCAATATCAAGCATGACACTTTGTTCGAATATCACGCATTGAGAGCATATGAAGACGGAAAAATATTATGATTATACCATGACTGATTGAGTGTAACCTACACACAAACGGAGCTCTGGTCAACATTCCAGCGAAAAAGCTAAGCCTACCTGACACAAACCTGACTTCTACCAGATCCCAACTCGATTTTGACCCGAATTACCCAACATAAACCCAAAAATGACCCAGCATCGACCCGACATTGACTTTAAATAAACTTTACATTGATCCAACATCGGGACCATTTTTCTGGGTTTCTTCCATAATCCACTGCCGTATATCAATTGATAGTGAGTGACTCAATTGACAGTGACAATGAGGTTCCTTTGAGAAAGTGGCTGAAATGATGCGCATGTGGAAATTCGTTTTCGCATAATTTATTGAATTGTTGAATTAGTTCATCTTCAATGGAATAATATAAAATGACCAGTATGCCGTATGCCACTGCTCAGACGTCATTTCAATCACAAATGCCGTTTCCGAGCTAATATTTTTTCACACGATTTTCAAAATTTTACAAGATCTACAATGGCTGGATTTTAGTAAAAATGTGAAGCATAACCCATTACAACCAGTTATGAAAAGTTTAATGCGATTCGGAGAAGGTTGAGTTTTTCCGATTTGTTTTTTTTTTCTTTTATGGGAATTTAAAAAAAAAAACATTTAATCTGAGTTTAGACGGTTCAAGTGAGTTTTCGGTGATAGGCATTTTGAATTGCATCAAATTTATCATAAGCCTGAAAATGTGCTCATGGACCAATTTTTCGGACGATCTTCACGAGACTTGGGCGTTAATGGGTTAAAATTATCTTTTATTAAAGTCGAAGTCGAAGCCGGAGTCGGTACTTTTTTTTTGACTCTAGGCTCGACCCTGCAATCAACTATTGAAAATTTCTAATAGTTTGTTGCAGTATGCGTTTTTTAATATTTTTTAATAAGTTACACGTTGACATTATTTTTGTTATTTTTGTATGGGTTATTATTTTAATACAGTAGTGGTAGTAAATTTCATCGAATTTTTCGATGTGCTTTCGGTACGTTTATTATTTCTATTAAATCTAAATCTTCTTTATACTGCAACTTTTCAATTATAATTGTAAGCATATTTTGCATGATATATTTTTCGTAGATTATCAGAACCCTAGACAATACTAGATTATCACAGAATTCGCCAAGTGGTTAATTTACTCAGCCAGATTCTGCTTAAAATCTTCTCGTCACTCTTTTTCATTAGGTATAATCAAACAATTTGAGAAAATATACCTACCACACGATTATAAAAATACTCCTCTATTATTCGTTGGTTTATGACGAACTATAATTGTGTGGTAATTAAATATAATTATAAAAATCCGCGTCGAATAAACAAATAACAAAACTGCACATAACTTCTATCGTCTTTTTTTTTTAATACCATTAACAGTATTCATTACTAATACCCTTAGATCTAGTATTTATCTTTACATATCATTTTTAAATGCAATGCCTGATTTAAATCCCGAAAATCAGCCATGTTTTGTAAATACATCCACATTCGACGGGACCGCTTTTTCTTTCAAAAGGCAATAGCACTAAAGTTGCACATTTTACAGCATCGTTGCAACGTTCTAGTACTTTATTTCCATCCGTACAAGAAAACGATTTCCTTGTAACATTTTTCTTTTCGTCCTCCTCCTCCTCCTTCTCCTCCTCCTCCTCCTCCTGTTATAAATATATTCTGTTGTTGTTCAGTTCGAATCTCACCATCTCGTGTTGTCAAAGTTTGTACCTATTCACCAAAAAAAAAAAACCAAGAAATAGAAGAAAACTAAAAAAGTGTCTCTCTCCGCCCCATTCCAGAGATGGAAAGTGCACCGAGGAACATTCAAGTGCGCCCGTTAAGTTCATCGACAATGGTTATCACTTGGGAGCCACCTGAGACGCCTAATGGACAAGTGACTGTAAGTTTCGCTTCTCCGGAAGTGTCCCCCTTCCCTCTATCTCTCCCAGTACCGACCACACGTCCAGAACATGTTACATAAGCGAGTAGTATGTTTCTCGGTTGGTCCTCGGTACCCCAAAAGCTTTTTAAATATGCATTCGATTTTGGCACCACGGCACACAGTGGACCGTCCGCTGACACCGAGAAACCTGGGTAATTGTATAAAATTGTCCTTATCCTTATTTTCTCCCGTCGTCGCAGGGCTACAAAGTGTACTACACCACAAACCCCAACCAACCGGAAGCATCCTGGGAATCGCAGATGGTGGACAATAGCGAGTTAACGACCATCTCGGAGCTAACGCCGCACGCAATCTACACCATCCGGGTGCAGGCGTTCACATCGATGGGGGCCGGTCCAATGTCCAATCCGGTACAGGTCAAAACACAGCAAGGTAATTATTTGATATGGGTTTTTGTTTGGTCCGGTCGGTGGTGCCTGGCCCGATCCGGAACCCCCTCTATAGCAAAGGGAGACGCGTACGTGTAGTGGTTTGGTGTGCGTGAGTGTGTGTGTGTGTGAGTGTAAGTTGGTTGTATGTATGCCTTTTTCGTGTGGGACAACCGATTATAATACAAATAGCCAAGCTGCTCCCATGGTCAGCTACTTACTTATTCAAATAAGCCGTAATAGGGTGTTAATGTTGGCTACGCTGTTACCACCGTACAGAAACAGAAAACAATGGGTGTCAAAGGGTATAAAATTTTCACAGGAAATAAACGACGGGCTGACCTGAACGGGGCGGAATGTGTGGGTGGATGATGAGATACGATAGTATTGCGACATAATAGCACGTTCTATAGAATTTTTCAAATATCAGGCTCTATGACAATTTTGCGTGTGGTGGAAGAAAGTAACTAGAGAAGTGAATTTCAAGGTTTCCGTGTACGGTATTTCCTATTGGAATGAGTGTAAGCAGCAAATTAAAAAAATAATGTTGACGTCACCCGTAATTACGGTATGATAATGACCGTCATTATGTTTCAAAATGTGCCATACAATCTAAGCATACACACGCCTCGAAAAGTGGGTACACACTAAGATTTTGTTGCCGTATTCGGTAAATTTTACCAAAATCAGAATAGCTTCATTTTAAAGGCTATTGAATTTTAAATTAATATCAAAACATGTTCAACCTTGTTTAAATGATCAAATCTTGCCATTTTAGTGGAGATTTAATTTCAAAGTAGCTGAACAGCAATTGAATTGAATTGCATACATTTTACCGAAAAGTTCAGCTGAATTTCGTTAAAAATTACCGACGTCGGCGATAATTTCTAGGTGTGTAGATCACCATTTCGTGGTACGATACGTGATGTTAGTTCTACCACCGATTCCTAGTTCTGACTATTTCAAACTAGAGGAATAGGATTTTTCAGTAATCAATGGAACACATTTTAGTCCTTGTTACTTTTTATACCTTGTTAATAGTGATAAGTCCTGGCGTTGCCTTGACCAGGAATGATCTATGTGATTCCTAATATTATATTCGTTGTTCCCTAGTATGAAGTGATTAAGACTAGGGTTCTGATGCATGGTCATTATCGGTGTCATTGTTTAATTTTGTTTCTAAGGAATCCAATTTTGAATGACAAAGTAGCGCGCCTTTGGAGAGTGGACTTTTCAATTAGAATCGATTCCTTGTGATGCAGACAAGAATGACAACTGTATCATAACCGAATACTTCATCATTTCTCAATAATGATGGAGTAATACGACAGAGGAAAAAAAAGCGTGCAGACTAGAGTTGTCCACCGTTATATGAAAAAAGCCAAAGTCTGGAATTGCAAACGCAGATGGATTTAACGCAGGATTGGTAGCAAGCCACTATTTTGAAGTCGGTCACTTTTAACACCAGTCACTATTTAGTGACCAGTCTCTATTTCTTAAATATGCGTCACTAAAGTCACTTTTTCACAATAAAATGTAAAGGATCTAAAGTTTAAAAAAAAAACAAAATGTTTAAATTAACAAGAAGTCATGTTTATCACATGTCGTGCCAGGTGTGCTTGAGTATTTTACACTAACCAAGTCGAAAAAATAAACAATGATGTACTATATAACCATTTTGAGCAAATGACCGGCAAAATGCAAAAAGTTTATAAGCCCTAGGAAAATTTGAAAAAAAATCTCGGAAAAGCCTGCAAATTTCAATGAAAATCGGGGAAAATTCTTCACCAAAAAAAATTCAATTCCTGAACTGATTTTTTTGAGTCAAATTACATAGAAAAATCCATAGGAATTTTAAAGAGCATTTAGAAGAAATTCTACATATAACACCAATATACTTATTTCAGAGACGAATATTGTAATTTACCGAATAACTGACAGTATTTTTATCCAGAAATTTCATTTTTAGAATTAAATATTACATCCCCTTGGCAGCATAATAATTATGTAAGCTAAATAGGATCATCATAAAATAAGAGATGAACCAGCCTATGGCGGAAAGACTCGTTGATAAAGATAACCTCATCATAAAATTTACGTGGCATTTGGATTATATTTGGCCTTGATAATCAACTTCTAAAAGTGTCGGGATTTTTGCACTAAGTGCCTGCCTACATTATAAAAGACCCTAAATTCTGCTTTTTAAAACGTACGCCGAGTGGCATGTTTTTGAGTTCAGTGCTCTTCATTTTAAATTATTTGTTTGTTTACGCTCCATAATTCATGTCGACACAACATACACAATGGAATGGACACAACATACATGACGTGTAAATTTAGTGACTTCTAAGTGATTAGACCTGGGAAGAACTTCAAAGGGGATACGGTTATATAACTGCACATCAATTTTGTTAATTTCAATATAACTGCGAGCTCCAGATGCAATTTAACGAGAGTTGTGAGAAGTTGTTTATGACAATTGGAGGAGAATTGCAGATCTAATCCTAATAACTATTCAAAATAAGTTTTGAGATTTTACTAACACCTTTTTTTCGATAAGGCTCAATCGAATTATCTTTTAACAGCCGAGGATTTTTGCTCGGCGGAGTCGGTGGTGTAGTGGTTAGCGTGATTACCTCTCACCCCAGCAGGCCTGGGTTCACTCCTAGTCGGCGCCGCCGGGATGTTCTTAAGCGTAACATCTCTGATCACGCCTTCCTTCGGAAATGAAGTAAAGTCGTTCATGTCCATAAGTTGATAGGTCCATAGGTAGGGTCCAGGTGTGGGAGCTGCCTCCTTGGCGTCGGTAGCATTGGTGCTCAGCACGAAAAGCAAGATCCACGAAAAACAAACTAAAGGAAAAAAAAAGAAATCTTGGTCATTTTACAATACATCTTCAAACTATATAGTCAAAAGGTACAAAACAATCATGGACGCAAAACATGGTCAGCACTCACACACTCATCACTAAACGGTTGCTTTCCAAAGTCGACGACGTATCGACCGAAATAACTGGTATACAATGGTTGTTGCCATGTCCACAGACGCTCGCGTGATACACATCGAGAGTGGCCTGCTTCTGTCGACAGCTGAGTGAACACTCTTCTATGATTTTATTTTAGAGAGATTTAATGACAATCTCGTGAATTCCAAACGTAATGAACTCTGCGGATAGTTCTGGGTGATTTCAGAGGACAGTTCAATGAAAATTCTAAAGAATTCAAAGGAATTTCTTAGAAGAATACCGGTATCGAATGTTGACGGTACAATCTCAAAAAAAAAACCGGGAAGAGTTACAAGGGCGATCTGAGATGGATTTTTTTTTTGAGAATTCTGAAGAAAAAAAATGGGAATTCTTGGGAGAATACGAATTAAGTTTTTAATAGAATTCAAGAGAAAAATCCAAGATTATTTTGAGCATAAGTTTGAGACATTTCTGATCAGAGTTGGTTGGAAATGCTAACATGAAGCTTTAGTGTGATAATTTATTAGCTAGAGAATGATCTTTAGAAGAGGGTAGGTGGATAGTTCCGTTAGAGTACGGCAGTATGAAAATTGAATAGAAGTTGAAAATGAGCGAACGGCCATTAATGCGACAGTTTTTAAAGATAGACGCACATCTTTTGTCTAACCCGTACGATGTACGCAGAGACTTGAAGTATGTCTCCAAGTCTACAGGCAATGAAGTAATATAAAAACACTTTGAATGTAACAACTCAAGGCGGGAGTAGCCGTCAACAATGCTGATGATGGAACAGCACGCAACAACCACCCTACTGCTTCCTCTCTGAGATGACTACCCTAATAAAAATTGTATGGTTAATTTGCTTAACGACGTGTTCTGGGTATCATCCAAACCATTTGTGGAATAGTTCAATGATTAGGGTTGTCGTTCGTTTATGGTTATTTTTTATTAGGGTACGTTGGTCATGACGAGAGGAGCAACACAATAGTTGGGTAAAGAAGAATTGCATTATAACACACCATCGACTGGAAATGCTCTCGCAACGTGGGGCTTTAGGTAGTGATGAAAACGTCGCTAGAACTATTCCACAGCCGCAGTCAGTTTATGAGCAAAAGAGGGACGGCGGGATATCCGGGAGATGTATCTGCAAGTTCTACTGAGGCAAGATGTTGGACTGTGCTTTTTTTTTTGGGGACGGATAAAGGCAACGTGGATCCTAGCGTATACATCATGTTGGTGTTACCGTTTGGAGTGTCATGCGCTCCAAGTATTGCACAGTACGTCAAAAATACCAACGCTCAGCGATTTGAGAAGGGCCACCCTACCGCTGTACGAGCTATCGTTGATCAACATTATGTCGATGACATGTTTGTAAGTGTTGAAAGTGAACAAGAAGCAGTAGACCTCGCACGGGAAGTGAAGAAAATTCATGCAGAAGCCGGCTTTGAAATGAGAAACTGGTTCTCAAACTGCCCGGGTGTTTTGGAGGCGTTGCATTAGCGAAAGACGGAAGTGAAGGACTTCAATATAGCAGAAGGGGTAATAACCGAAAAAGTTCTTGGGATGTGGTGGAATACGTCAACTGACTGTTTCACCTTCAAGGTTTTGCCTACGATCCTGTGCTAATGTCGGGGCAGCGGAAAACAACAAAACGGGAACTGCTTAGGACCATGATGATGATATTCGACCCCTTAGGACTCATCGGTCATTTCTTAATGTTCCTGAAGGTGGTACTGCAGGAAATTTGGAGAAAGTCCGTCGGATGGGATGACCCCATCGAAGTAAAACAATTTGAGATGTGTTTGCATTGGCTGAAGGTGCTTCCTGAAGTAGCAAAGGTAGAAATACCGCGGTGCTACTGGACGGCTACATCTGTCGAAAGCTCCTATAAAGTTCAAATACAGTCTGCTATTCTATTTTTAATTCCTACGAGTCAAAGGTTTCGCAGTATTGATTGTAAGACGCCATCATGCGATTTGATGACCCGAATTTTGCATAATTTGTGCGATGATGGGTTATGGCAAATAAATTTCGATTTT